AGGATAGCTGCCAGCCTGGCCACCAAAGGCCACATGTGAACCCAGGAGCAGGTTTGCATGAAAGTCAAGTTGGGCCAGTGAGACCCCCCCAACCCTGAGCCCTGAGCTTCCCCTTGCTTCCCCCTTCCAGCTCCCCCCTCCCAGGTTTCCTCCTCCCCTCTCCCACCCTCTCTCTTCCCCTCTCCCACCTCCTTTTCCCATTCTCCTCAGAGGTTCATCCCTCACCCCCCAGTTTTGTTCAATAAACCCAGTTTCTATTTTTGAACATACGTGTATTTTACTTGACATCAGGAAGGGGGGCTAGAGAGGGGTAAGTGTAAGGACATGAGGGAGGAATGGGTCACAAGTCCCTGGTGGGGAGGACCGGGAAGGCTCTGAGGGGTGAACGCTCTCTTTCAGGGCCTCCTGAAGCCTGACAGCTCCCCGATGGACCCCCCCGGATGGCAGCCTGCAGCAAGTGCAGCCGGGCTGATGGCAACGACCCCACGAGATGCACCTGCATGCCTGGGGCAGCTCTGTCTCCATGTGGCTGAGTGCTATGGTTCTCTAGTTTGGGCACTCAGGGCACTTCAAGACAGGACTGCTTTGCTGTTCCTCATCAAGGTAGACAAGCAAGTGGGGAACCCTGAGAACTGTCTGTCCGGGGTGGGGGCAGGGTCCCTTCAAGCACGGAGCTCAGTTAGCCTCAGGCAGCAGTCCCACACACTAAGTCCTAACCTGGTGCCCTGCTGGCACTGGTTCCGGCCAGCCTTAAGTTCGGTTCAGGGTCCACTCAGTGTGGACGTGCTATTTTGAAATAGTCTTTTTTGTGTAGATGCGTTATTTCAAATTAGCTTAATTCATTGTGTAGTTGCGTTATTTCAAATTAGCTTAATTCAAAATAGTTAATTCGAATTAAGTTAATTTGAAATAGTGCTGTAGTGTAGACATACCCTAAGGTGCAATAGGATTATTTGTTTTTGAAGTTACAACTAACATGGATACCCCTCTGAGACTTAAATAGGCCCAAACAGTATTAATTTTTAACTTCTTTGATGTTCAAACTGAAATTATAATGGACACTATACCACCTTTGGACATTCTTCATATTGTTATACTAATTAAACTTAAATTGTAAATAACTGCAATCAGATCACATCTTTGCATTTTTAGGTGGTCTTTTTGACAGGTATGCAAGTATGAAACTGCAAATAGCATAAGGACAAGGGGCATCAGAGCAAGCACCCATCTCATTGACAGGATAATAGACAAATACACCTCACTTTGGCTTTGCATAGTTGCTCTCGTTACAGCCAGGGTAAGAAGAAGATTATGCTTGGTTTCAAGCAGCCTTTAAAAAATATTTACACAATCATCCCAAAGTTCTTCATAAAGTTAACAGGTTAGAGACTTTCATGTAAGAACCCATTTTACTGAACTGGAGGCATGGGTCAGGATACTAGGGTTCTATCCCATGCTCTTTTTAAATAGAGCAATGTAGGAGTATTAGTTTCCACTTAAACAACCACCACAGATATGACCTTACTGTTAGTCACCCGAGAAGACTGTGTCTGGATCAGGCATTAATAATATGCAAAACCACATTAATGCCAAGCAAAAGTCTTAAATTTACCAATTTTCTCCTTGAAGTCTAATTATTTACTATAATTTTTTCCATCTACTACAAATTCTTCTTGAAGACAAAGTTAAAAATATTCTGTTTAATAAGGCTGTATTATTTGCATGGTAAATGAGTTCAAGACTGAAGTAAGATAATTATTTTGTTATATTCTGAAGGCTTGTCTATACTTACCCGAGGATTGATGCTCCAGTGATCAATCTTCTGGGGTTCGATTTAACAGTCTAGTAAAGACTCGCTAAATTGAACACCAAGGATGTCCCCATCTACTGTGGTACTCCTCACAGTCACAAGGAGCAAGGGAAGTCAACAGAAGAGTTTCTCCTGTCAACCGTCCACTGTGTGGCTGCCCCAGAAAAATCGATGTAAGGTATATCAACTCCAAATACACAATTGTCATAGCTGGAATTGCATATCTTACATCGATTTTCTCCACCAGCAGAGACCTAGCCTGAGGATCTTAAGGTTGGTCTACTGTGTGGGGGTGGAGGGACGGGACGGAACGGAACAGAAATCAATCTAAGTTACGCAACTTCAGTTACATGAATAACGTAGCTGAAGTGGACGTATTTATATCTACTTACCGCAGTGTCTTCATTGCAGTGTGTCGAAAGGAGGTTCTCTCCCATCAACTGCCCTTCTGCTTCTTACTCTGATTGAGTATCAGAGTCAATGGGAGAGCGATCGGCAGTCGATTGGGTCTATACTATACTTGATAAATTGACTTCCGCTGGACTGATTACGCTACTAGCTTGATCGATGGGCAGCAGACATACCCTTACCTCAGATGTATGAGGTAGCGTAGTAGCCTTTCTTCAGTCTGCCGAATGTTTTCTTTATTGATGCTTCTCTTTACTTCTCGTCTCATAGGAACAGAAAATGTTCTTTGTCGTAGGAATGTTTGATGATTGGCTGGCATCCCTCTTAAGTCATAGATCACTACAAACATTTTCACCACAGTCTTATTAGGGTTAAATAAGGTCTGAAAAAGACAAACAGCTATTTTAGAAAATAAGGCTGATTCATAGATGCGATGAATAATAAAGGGCGACAAGATATGAGAATTCAGTGTGCCAACGAATAATCATGGTTCAGATTCACTGGGCAGCCTCTATGGGCTCTATTCCCTTGTTTTGTATTGAAAGTTTATTTAAAAATTACTGTTTAGCTTGTATTTCTACACTTCAGTTTTTGGCAACTGAACAGTTCATTTTCTCCCTTCACATTAACATGATTAAAGAAAATCATTAGTGCAAACTAGTTCTTCATGCAAGAGGCAGACTCTTACTTCTTTGGTAATCAGTACAAGCTTTTGTTTGCTCTTGTGTCAGCTTTCTGTTTAGATTAATTCTGTGTTTCCAAAAATCAAAATGGTCTGCTACAGAGATTAATCAATTCCTGAAATATAATTCTAATTCCCAATTTTTAACATTTACAGAAAAATAGGGCTTGTTGAAATATTGAGGTGTGATATTCTGCTCAGGCCACAAATATAGATTTTATACAAATAATGAAAATCAGAAATCATCAGAAATATGTTAACAAAATTCAGATGGACTAGATTTGTTGTGCTTTTTTAATAAAAGATCACTAAAAGCTGTTACCATTAATGAGCCTGAAACTTGGGATAACTTACCTCAGACTCTTTCATGGGATATATTTAAAATTGATGGTGAATTTTTACCATGAGTTACTAGCATGCACACACTTACACACTGAAAAAAGTTACAGTATTACAGTACCTACACAGCTTCATATTCAGCAACCCAAGTCCCAATCTGGTAGACATCTCTTTAACCAAATAACCTATTTTTCCCCCACCAGGGAGCTCCTTGGTGCCAGTGGTTTTGGTGTGTCCACAGGTGGCATCTGATATTGCTCCAGGAAAATTTAAGTCACAGTGAGAAACGATTAAAATATATAAAGATTAATCCCACCATCCAAGGCCCTCCACTCAAAACCCCCAAAACCAACAGGAAAAATCCATTTATCCTTTATGAGATCATCCTAACATACCTAACAGATGTAAAAACACCAAGTTTTAACCATGTGACTATATACTGTAGCATCATGCACTGTATTCTCCTGTCCTGTTTCTATATATCAGTACTTATAACTAGTATGCATCTTATTATACCATATATACATTTGGCATATCAAACGCCAATACAAGTCATACATTTTACACTTGTTTAATATAATGCACACATACAAAATCCCCACCAAATGATGTCTCCAAAAATCTCCTTTAGTAATCTGTATTGCTTACTAAGGAAATTCAGAATGTCACCAGAAAAAAAAAAAAGTGCATTGCTATCAACCATGTTTATCTTTAACAGTCATTTACATATAAACACCAATCTGAAAAAATCACCTTATTTAGTACATTAATGCTTTTCCTCATTGAGTGTACTGTGCAAAAACGGAATCTTCTAGCAAAAATGCAGTCTACTACTTACCTATGCTATAGCAGCATCAGCCGGAAATGTTTAGTTGTATATGTTTGGGAGAGAACTGTTATGCAATTGTATGCTATAAAATACATACCACTTGTATGGTTCCTGAAGGAGGTACCCGATAACCCCTTTTACCAAGGGATTCTAAAGTAATCACACCCTTGGGAAAAAAACAGACAAAAAATTTAGCATATAACACATAATATTAGCATATGAGAACGCTTTATCCATGTAACTACAAACATTAAAAATAACTGTAAATATATTTAAACTGAACTAATGAGTGTGATGGATACTCCAGCCACAAGATGCAGTTACAGCAGCACCATGGATCTTACAGCAGCAAACTGGAAAGTTATTATCAGCATGACAAGCCCTAATTTCTAGTTTGAGCCAAACTCTGATTTTTTTAAATCACAGACTCAGAGTTTAAGGCCCAGAAGAGTCCAGCATAATCATCTAGTCTCTCCTGGGAAGGAAGGGGGGAACCAACTGCAGGCTTCCCCCAGCCAGCCAAAGCATGGGGGAAGGAGGCTGGCAGAGTGCCTCCACTGCTTTCCCCCTGCCTGCCAGAGCATGGGGGAAGAGAGGCTGGTTGCAGCGTGCTACCTCTGCCTTTCCCAGACGGGCCAGAATAGGCCCTATGGTGGACCATGAAGGGCTGTTGGGGGGGGCAAAGAGGGGAGGGTGTGCTCACACCTTTCACATCCCCTCTATGTACGGGTCTGTCCTGGAACTCTGCGGTTCTGCACTTTAAATGTAGTGCACTTAAAGTGCAGAGCCGCAGCACAGTTAACTTCCAGAGGTGGCAATAGCCAGGACTGAACAATGCCAGCTTGTACCACCCTGGGGACTCTGCGGTTCTGCCTCCCTTGCCCCACCCCTGCATCGTGGAGACAGTGCTGGGGAAAGCCAGCTTTTAAGCTGGCTCCCGCCAGCACCAGCTCCTGCTTCTCCCCCTTGCTGCCTCTGATACAGATTCAGGAGAAGCGAGTCGTCACTTGACTACCCAATAAGCTTATGCTTGACTACTCAATTAGTTGCTTACATCCCTACTCCCTTCAACAAAAATAAAAAAGATTGCCCAATTTCATCAAGTTTGCATTCTAATGCAAACCTTATAATTTATACTAACAGATCAGCACATTTGACCAGCTCTCATTCAATGCATTTGGGAAGGTGTTCTGTTGAGAGACCACTGTTAAGGTTTTGTATTAAAGTGCAAATTTGATAATGTTGCAATATACAAGGGCTTGTGTGCTCAGAAGTGGGCATGCAATATAGCAGACCAGGGCAGAAAAACTGGCCATAAGAACAGAAACAATCTTTTTGATAGTTAAGGTATTAGATAAATGTATTAATTCTGTGATGCACAACCATAATATTATATGATTATTTACAGCATGTGCAGCAGAATCAGAACAATGATGTCCAGCTGATAAAATAACCAAAGGTGCTTTAGCCACTCATAAGACACCAGCATGACCTGAAAAAAAACCTATATGCTTTCATTTCTGTAGGATTATTTCAAAGAGTGGTGTTTGGCTGGAGAAAAAAAAACAAGCAAAAAATAAGCAGGTCCCTCAAACTTAAAACAGAGAAGCCAAAAGATTTCTCGCTCATCTTCTAAAGCCTTTTCATATTTTTCAACATCTTGTTCTTGAAAAATACACATTATTTAAGATTTATTCTTGAAAATGCACATTAGCTAGGATCAGTGTTCTCTCTAAGCTGCAGCTTCACAGGTAATTAATCGTCAGTGAAGCTGTGCTGCTATGCAGTTCAGAGGGAACACTGACTAAGATTTAGTTTAAGAATGGGATTTTCAGAAGCTCTCTTAAAATGCTAAATTATTTAGATAGGCACTTAAAAATCTTATTTATCACATGCCAACTAAAAACTGTATCTTAGAATTGGATCTGTTATCCACATAATTTCAACTTTTCCTACCAAGGAGCTTATCATAAAGGGTGCATCTAAACAGCAGGGCTTAACTCAAAATAAGCTATGCAAGTTGAGCTATGTCAATTGTGTAGCCTGTTTTGAAATAGCTTATTTCAAAATTGGGAGCGCCTACACAGCACTTATTTTGAAATAAAACACTCTTCCTTCGACTTTCCTTATTCCTCGTACAATGAGGGTTACAGGAGTTGGAGTAAGAAGTCCTCCAGCTTGACAATATTTAAACATTATTTCAAAATAACTGCTTACTGTCTAAATAACGCTAGTTATTTCAAAATAATATTGCTATGCAGACGTACCAAAACCAAGGCAGGCTACTATATTTTAGGGACGTATAAAGTCTTCTAAAAATGTAATCGTGTAACTGCTGAAAGTTCCAGCAGTTACACGTGCTGCAGGCTCTGCAATATAACACGTATATAAGCTTTTTACTGCAGCGTCCACAGTGAAGCCTCCCTGGAAGTGGGAGTGGGAGCTCTTGCTGGCCATGCTCCCAAGGAGGTTTTGCTACCGGCTCTGTGGATGGCTCCTGCAGAGCCAGCATGTAACCTGCGCTAGAGGGCAATGGAGGCTGAAATAGCCCCCTGCCCAGGGTTGGTTGGGAAGCTACTCCAGCCCCTACTGATTAACCTGAACGGTAAACCTTACCCATTGAATGAAGAGTGAGGCTTAATTATATTTCTCCACAAAACACTGGAATGTTAAAAGCCTGTTTGCTTTTTAGCATATAGGGCTTTGATGTGTACAAAAATACTGCTGTCATGGTAGAAATGCAGGGCAGAGGCACAGTGGAACTTCATTGGTCATATCAGCAAATTAAGCCACAGCTGATGGGTTGTTTTAGTTTCCCAACTTTGGTAGTATAGTATTCCTATTAAACAAGGGGTCAATCAACTTGTTGACTCTAAAGGTTGTGTCTGCAACTGGCTAGGAGCATGAGGGCCAAATGCATACATTAACACATACATAATAAAGTGCACAGCCTTAGGATTTGTTTGTAGCTACATATTTTTACTAAAGTAGTAAGAACTGCAAGTTATGCAAGTTCACCAAGAACAAAAGCCTATGGTTGATCAGTTTTGTTCTCATCCCAGAGTTATATGAATAAAATGGCTATAAAGTGTTATATTGGCCTTCAACCCAAACTTTGAGCTGCTTTAAACAGAACAGATTCTAAGAAAGAAGTATTCGCATTCCCCAAAATGTATGTACATTTCCATTAGACTTTCGCAGAAGAAAATAGAAATAAACAAAGACACATACATACCATATAGGGAGAGGGTGCATTATCATCTGAGACACTGTAGAATGACACTTCAACTGGAAGAGTCATGTGAGTGGGGCAGAAGATTCCACTTGCTCCCACCTCAGCAGTGAAGCCATCAACAACGCCCAGAGGATCTAAACGATAGTTCAACACAGACTCCTGAAAGACCAAATGGGTACACATATCTGATTATGTATACAGCATAGAAAACAGCAAATATTTATTGTCAAACCTTTCTATAAACTTTAATCAAATGATTGCAAGCTATCATACACAGCTGTCACAGTCATCTCTTTCATTCTTTTTAGTCAGGAATAGCAAGAGTGACTTTCCCCTTCATAGGGGAGTAAGAAAAAACAGACAACAGGGTGCAGAGACCTTTTTGTCCCCTGTTCTTCTGCTGTATACAAGGCCATTGAACTTACAGACTTGAGGATTCCACAAGGCTAGTATTGCTGTCTGCACTAGCCTCTCCCACAAGAGCCCCATCACCTAGTCTGTGAACATGCACAGAAGAGATAGTCTGGTGTAGCAAAGAGCGAGAAGTGGACACTCAATGTCTGGCAAGAGTAGTGCAGTGATTGTACTCTCTCTGAACTCCTCAGACACAGGGAGGCACAGTACCTGCTTCAGGCACAAGGACACGCAGTGCAAGGAAGTACCTTAAAATGTCATATTATAGACCATAAAGGGCTGAATTCTCTACTCCTTGCTCAGTAATAACTTGCAGTAACTTCAAATGGGACATTTGTGAGCTTAAAACGTTATTGTTTGGGCTACTATGAGAGAACTTGGCCAAAAATCATAAGCAAACCACGAACATACATCCAACTTCTAAACATGTATTAGAGTGGCATTATTTCTACAGTAAACACCATATGAAACCAAATCCTACTCCCATTAAAGTATGCGACGAAATCCTCTGAAAGACCTCACTGGATCAATGCAATAATTTTCTTTTGTATATAAAATCTCAAAAAAAAATCAATAAAAATTAATTTATATTTTATCTCAAAAAAAAAAAAATCAATAAAAATTAATTTATATTTTTGTAATGAAATCATCCCATATGAAAATTTCACAGCTAGAACTAGCATTCTATAAAGAGGCACAATCTGGTCACTTAAGTTACATTTTCTGAAATGAAAGGCGTGCCTTAACACCATTTTCACTCATTCCATTTACATTAGCTTGTATCATACTTTAAGTGTCAAACTGCAAGAAACTAATTGTTTAAATTACTTCCACAGCATCTCAGTATAAACATTAACCAAGAACAAAAGCCTATGGTTGATCATCTTTGTTCTCATCCCAGAGTTATAGGAATAAAATGGCTATAAACAGCGCCAGATTAAGTCTTCTGGGAATCCAGGGCTGTTAGATTTGGAGGAGGGCCCTCGGGTAGGATCAGTAGGTTTCAGAGTGCAGAAGAAAGTTGTGGGTTGAGGCAGAAAGGTATGTGATGTAGCTCAGGACAGGAGTAAGCGTGCAGAGTCTAGAAAGGATTTAAGGTGTGGGAGAGGTCTCAAGGCTGGGACAAGGGATTGGGCACTTACCTGAGGCAGCGCCCCTTTGTTGGTGCAGGCTATGGGGAAAGAGGGAAGGAGATGGGGCAGGTAGCTCAGAGCACTGCCCTGAGCTTGCCTGCAGGCACCATCTCCCTCATCTCCCATTGGCTGCAATTCCTGAGGGGGAGGATCCTGCAGACAGAGCATCTTGTGCTTGCAGCTCCAGCCCAGTGGAAGCAGGGAAAGGATGGCAGCATGTGGAACCGTGTTCCTCCCACCCCCATCAAGCAGGGCCAGAACACAGGGGCTTTAGTGGTTGCAGACCAGGGCTTGGGCTAGGGGGCTCCACAAAAATATCTGCATTTTTGACAGCCTAGAGATGGTTTTGCAGGGGGCCCTTAGCCTGGGGCCATGGGCTGTAGTCACTAAAGTACCTTTCTTAATCCGGCTCTTCAATTAAAGGGTCTGATTCCTTAAAATAAGTATAAAAGGATAACAGTGTTTCCATCACTTGTTCAATGTTCATGCTTATGACAGAGGATTGGCTGGGAAGCTTTTGTAAATAAAGATCACAACAAAGGGCTTTTTGCTCAATTTAATAATGAACATAGTGTGTTATTTAGAAGTTTTTCACATATTGAATTAATCCTTTATAGCATATTATTCAAATATGGGACTTTTGGAGCAAATACAATACCTCAAAGTTTCCTAGAAGACTAAGACTTGTTATGGGTGGAGCACTGACACTCAGAAATGGTTTCCCATGGCCTTCTGGGTCACTCTCTGTGTTTATACATTGTTGTGGACTATTAAAAAAGGCATAATAGTTTAATGGCATTAATACAATTTGTTCTTTGTTTTCTGTTATGCTTATAATACAGTTGGGGAGAAATTTTTTGAGGCGTCACAAAATATGGTCCCACCAAATAATGATTAAAGAATTATATTACAAAGTCTTAATATAGCCATTTTCTAGTAAGCTGAACTGAACAATGCTTTTCATAATTTGTACACTAAAAACAGATAAAGAACAACATAAATTGTTGTGTTTTCAATTCCACTTATTGTAATTGAACACATTCTTGTGTCTTGTATGCAAGTGTTTTATTTTGATGTCCTGAAATTCCCATTAACTAGCTTCCACAGTAACAGATTTTCCAGTTATGCTGATTAGTGCATGAGAAATCATAACTAGCCTCTTTAACTTCTACACAAAAGTTAAAAGGATATAATTCTGGCCTTGCTGAAGTCAAGGGGGCAAAGATTTCACAATGAGGGTACATCTAAACTACCTCCCTCTTTCGAAAGAGGGATGTATATTAGACAGAATTGCAAATGAAGCCGGGATTTGAATTTCCTGTGCTTCATTTGCATAATCACGTCATGGCGTTCTTTTGAAAAACGCTATTTCTGCTTCACTTCAGAAATAGCGTTTTTCAAAAGAACGCCATGACGTGATTATGCAAATGAAGCACAGGAAATTCAAATCCCGGCTTCATTTGTAATTTCGATATGTCTAATTTATAACCCTCTTTCAAAAGAGGGATGTAGTCTAGACATAGCCTGAGAATCCAGATCTGATCCCACATTCCTTTACAGAGATTTGAAAATATATATGACAGAATGTTAAAAAAAAAATCAGTGACAAAAGGAGTCAAGCAACTAACTTCATTTCCTCGTGTATGATATTCTCGGATTATCAATCTGAACTACTATGTAACAGATTCAATAGTAGTCTCTGGCAGCTTTGCATATCTCCAGAAATTCAATGCAGCTGTAAACTCATCTAAGCCAGCTGTTACAGTTTAAAAAAAAATCCAATATGAAAGTGAAACTCTTATTTACTGAAAGTGCCCTTTGTTTTAGATTACAAGATATGGACTAATTATTTATTGTAAAAAGAAGAATTATGGTATAAAATTTGTAAGTGATTGGTGTACATTTGAAACATGCTGGAATCTGTACAGGAACGTGTCCCAATTGTTACAACTGTTAAGGAGAAAGAGTACTCCCTAAAGAAGAGTTCCTGTGACTGATACTCACATTTTAGCTACGCTTAGTTTGCAGGAGTGGCCCGAGGCCGGCTGCTGCAGCTGGCACTCCAGGCGGAAGGGGCGATCGGCGCCCCGCCTGCACAGCCATAAATGGCCGGGGCGGGGCCGGGCTGCTGCAGCTGGCACTCCAGGCGGAAGGCGCGATCGGCGCCCCGCCTGCACAGCCATCAATGGCCGTGACATAATCATCGGGCGCCCGGGGCTGGCAGTGCCCTAGGTGACCGCCGAGTCTGCCTATGATTGCGATTCCCTAGGTGACCGCGAGTCACAGGCTGCCCGTTAGTTTGCCTTGCTCACTTTGTGTGCTACTGCTTACAGTTTACATATGTAATTATGCCATAGAATACACTCCCACACTTTCTAGTATGTAGAAAAAGATAAATACCTTTGTGTAGACAAACATTTCAAAGGCAGCAAAGATGAATCCAGATCAAAACACCCAGATTGTGTTTTTCTCTGAGGAACCTAAGGAAAAATAGAAGATATAAATCACAAAGCTTGCTGTCTGTGACAATTTTGACGTAATCAATAAAAAAAATATAGAAATATATAAGATCTTAACCTTTTTACATGCTACATTTAAAAACTAAACACTGATAAATACTTGGAAATAAAAACCTGAAAACTAAGGGCCTTGTCAATACTACAAAATTCTATAAATGTAACCTTTTGTGACTGAGATGGTACATCAGCAGCTCTCAGGCTCATTTTCTTTTTCCAAATTATTATTCTATTTTAAGTTCTACCTCAAATTTACCACTAGTTAGTGTGACACACTAACAGATTGGAAAAATCCGAGTTTTTAATCAGATTTTCTAGACATCTGAAGATTAATATATGAAATTATTTCATCTTTCTTCAGAATAATGGCTAAAAAATCCCAATAGTAACTTACTGGACTTGAAAGCAGAGGCAATCCAGTTCGAGGATGGAAAGCCTTAGTTGAAGTTCCATCCAAAGAGTGAAAATTGTGCTTTCGCCATATACTCAAATGCTTGAGCGGTAGAGTTCTCTGTAAGTAAAATATATTTACTCAAGCTACAATACGATACTTCAGGGGGACTATCTAGTTAAAACTCAGTTCTGAATTTGTTTCTCCTTTTCTTCAGAAATTGAACAAAAGTTTTTCTCATTTTCCCTGCAGCATATTAAGATTACACCCTGGTTCTGAGAAATTAGATCTATGGTTTTACTGTTTCAGGAAACAGTATACATCAAATTAATGCATTCTCTAAAAAAGAGTCTCTTTTGATGTCAATTCACAGCCACTATGAACTAGCTGGCTTGCTATTCATCATGTTGCATAGTTAGACATTATTCTAGTTATAAAACTAAAAGTCTCATAAATGTAGTCCGACTATGGGAATTATTCCTTAACAGTTCTGTTATGGTGTGTGGACCCTGTCAGTTTTCCTTCTAAATATTAAAATACACAAAATCAATCTTCAAAACTGAAAGCAGAAGTTTTAACTATACCGCTTCATAAAAGAGCACTATTAAATCTATACATCTAGAGGTTTTTCTCCTGAGTTGATTATTTAAATACCTACTCCCCTCTTATCAGTTAGGTACTTACCAACACATCTGCAGTCTTCCGTCGTTCACCTCTAGCCAAATAATCTTCTACAGATTTCTTCTGAGAATTGCTTTGAAGTTCATAATCTGTTGGGTCTTCATTCTCATCATGTGCAGTTTTCAGTTTATCCTGCTTATTTTTGCATTTAAAACTATCATGGTCTTTATTTAAATAATTTTCAATACTAACAAGCTGGGTATTTTGCTCACACATATTTGGCTTTTTTGAATCTGTATCTAAGCACTTAAGCTCATTTTTGTGCAAAATATCAGATGGCTGCATTATAGTTGCTTTTTTTGTACCTTCAAGTATTTTGGATTTATCTAACTGTGGATTGGCTAAACTATCTCCATTACTAGTCTCACTCATGATTGTTCTTTCTTTATTTTTGCAAATCTGTTCGTCAGTCGTGCTGAAATTTGAACACTGTTTACCAATGCCTTTGCTGGTCATTTGATCTTTATGTGGATAACCAGAAAGTATTGTTTCCAGTTTATCTGGCAGTTCAGATTTAATCTCTTTGATACAGGATATATTTATGCTAGTAAATGAATTAGTAGTTTTATTTGGAGTCTGCCTAAATGTGTTTTGGATGACTTCACTGGGTTTTGCTAGAAGCAGTTTTCTTCTTGCTTGGGGTTTTGGAGAAGCCTTCAATTCACCCTCAGGTCTACAAGATGTAAGAGGGGTATCAGGTGTCCTCGTCTTTACTTTATTGCTATATTTTAATATGGCAACGTCAGATGTAGAGAAAGAAATAGAGGATGTGTCTTTGCCTTTCTTCAACAAATTTTCATTTTCATTTGGACTTCGAAAAACTTTTGAAGTGTCTGAACTGCTTTCATGCACATTGAATGGATGCCCAGTAATGTGTGAAGTATCTGGATCACAGTGAATTAAGTGCTGGGCAATCCTTGCTATTACTTCCTGTCGCTCATGAAGTAAAGAACCTATTAAAGGATTAGTCTCTCCTATGGACTGACGAGAACAGTGGTTCATGGGAACATGGGAATCAACCAATGAATTCTCTAGTATTGCTCTTGTCTTGCCTTTACAGCAGTCTTCCAATAATGTAATATCTGTGTTAGCAGTAGAAACAGAGGACATGTCCTTGCCTTTTTTCAGCGAGCTTTCATCTTCATAAGTATTCCAAAAAACCTTTGAAGTAACTGAACTGGTTTCAGGCATGTTGAATGCATATCCAGTAACATGTGAAGTAGATGGATCACAGTGAATCAAGTGCTGAGCAATCCTTGTTATAACTTCATGTCGCTCCTGAAGTAAAGAACCTATCAAAGGATTAGTTTCTCCTACAGGCTGACGGGAACAGTGACTACTTGGAACTTGGGAATCAATCAAAGAAAAGGATTTCAAAGTTCTGACTGATGTTTCATGTGGCGGTGTCTTATTTTCCCCTATAGCATTATAGCAATGAACTTTAGACTGCGGTGCTCTAAAGCTAGACCCAAAACCAGTTGCTGGATAAAGTTTTACAGTTCTTACTGATGTAGTAAATTCAGGAGTTTTTTTTGCATTAAGCAAGCCTTCAGGTATCAATGTCCATGTTTGTTTAACACAGGAACGCTGTGAACTGGACACACTGTGCTGCTCTCCCTCTATGGAATCACAGTGCTGATGCAGATTATGTTCTTGAATTCCCTTTTCATAAAAGCCTAGGCTGGTGTGAATACTACAGGTCAAAACTGGATAGTTCGATTGTCTAGGCAAGGACTGGACACTGACTTTCAAGGCCACATTGTGAGAAACATTAGGAACAGGAAACACATGTTCAGTTGGCGTTTGGGAGAAAGTCCATTGAAGGTCTACATCCGCAGCACTTACTCTGAAATAATACAGAAAAGCCTCTGTATAAATTTACATTGTATGCAGATTTTTCTAAAGAAATAATTATATTTAAGAAAAGATAAGACAAATACAAATCATTAAAGAAACTGGAAACTGTCATACTTTGCCAAATCCCCAAACCAAATACTAGAACAAACAATGAGCAAAGCCCATCTATATACCCCTCCTGGAAGTAAATGGCACAGGGGAGGAGAATCAATTATTTCAAGGCTACTTTCTATTCCACAATTACCCACTAAGAACAAACAACTGGCTCTTTTCTACCTCAAACTTACCTGTACAGAATATTACGAGGAACAGCACCATGTGAAACACTCAACCAAGCACTTAACTGAGAAAAGAAAACAAAAGACCGCACAGCCAATAAGAGGGTCTTCTCTTCGATAAAGCGATCTCCACTTCTAAAATGTATTAAGAGAAATAAGCAGGTATTGGGTAAGAGCCATTACAAAAAACAAAAAAACAAAAACACCACAAGATTATTAAAAAGCTGGAGCTGCTTTGTTTTGATCTTATTAAAGATCTTAGAAACCAATAATATTTTTTGAAAACGCAATCAGTTTCTGTAAAATTTCCTCCCACTACTCCTGAGCTTTTAAGTCACACATTTTCTAAACATCCTGCAGGAAATTATGGTTCAATGCACAATTTATAAAAAGATATACAAAGACACTATGCATTATCAAAACACCAGCAATAGAATGACTGAAAATAAAAAGTGCTAGAAACAAAACTATCATATTTGTTGTGAATTTATAATGCAAGGAGATTTAGGTCCTTAATGGAAAAAAAATAGGACCTGATTCTCCACTAACATGCACCATATGTAGTTATTATACCTGTTCAAAGTGAGTGTAAAATGCTACCATCTAAATTAGTAAAACTTTACACCCATATTATTCAGGTGATTGCACAAAGTGCAAGGCTGTGGGAACTCTAAGTCAAATTTTGTACTAGAATACAATTATTTTCTAAGAACAGCAATAATAATCTGGAATTCAAATCCAAGATATTAAACCAGTCAGTTTCCTTGCAAGAATCCATTTTAAATTATTATCTAACCTCCACACCCACACTTACTGTCGGGAAACCGGCTCCAAAATCCATCTTTCTAACAGCAATGCATCTTGTTTGATTACAGGATCATTTAAATCACTCCCTTCAGTGGTGGGTCCTTCATCGTTATAGCAACAGTCTGGAAGTAGCATTACTTCTACCATGATAGGAATATTATTATTCCACAGTAGCATAACCTCAGTCTTGGTTCTTCTGGCTTGACGACACTTAAAAACCCCCCACAAAACTAGTTAGATTCAAAATCAACTTTAAGAGCACATTCAAAAATGTGAAAGCATTAAGGGCTCAGTCCATGAACACATCTGCGTTTTTCAAACCACAAAGAAGGCTGCAAAGCCACTAACAATGCAAGTTACGTTAAATCTGTAAGGTGGCAATTTAGAGAATTTGTGGGGAAAAGAAAGATCATATAGAAGAGCTTCTCACTGCATGTACTCTGCATAGCTAGGGGCATAGGTTTACAGATTTCTGGATCAACACCTCTTAGTTAGGGATAGAAGAGCTCTAACCTTTCTGTACCAACTCCCTCTATCCACACAACAATGATCAAAACAGAAAAATGCATGTTCAAGATCATCTAGAAATACAATGAAATTTAGGAAAAATACATTTTCTCAAAAGATCTCTTTAAAGCAAATTATGGTTCTATACACCTAGACAATAGAAAATAATACCATTCTACTCTTTAGAAGAACACAAGAATGTTATGTTTACTGACAAAATGCCTTATAGAGGCTATATAATAAGATGTTTGTTAAGAGCAAAATTACGCTGTCAGTACTATTTTCAATCACATATTTGTTGAAGGGAAAAAAACAATTTATATAGAGAGTGACTGTCACTAGTGTTTAACTAGAAAGCTACGGGGCAGAATGCCAGCGGATTTCAATTGCCGTAGCTCAATTGACAATGGAGCCATGACAATTCGCACAAATGGAAGATTCCAGGGATTCTCCATAAATACCCCACAGTATGTATCGTATACAGATATTGTCTTACCTGGGCCAATTTATCAGAGCATTCATGCTTACAGGTTAGGGGCTGACTTGACTGTGCTGGAGGGCAATGAAAACCCTCTGTTCTACCCTTTACAGAAAATTCTGGTGTTCGACCTTCAGTAATCAACAAGGCCAAGGAGACCAAGAATTCCTCAGCTTCATATTCGAAGTATTCATCTAAAGTATCTGTCATTTTGTAAAGAGACCAAAAAATCCTCGTTAGTACAACTTAAAGATATATTGAAAAAAAATCATCACAGGTGAAGAGAGTGTTATGCCACTAACCTGTTATAAATGAAAGAACTACCCAGTTTCAGCTACAATATTCAGTATGAAGTTACACTGTAAATATTTTGTTTCCTCTGCTGGATTGCTACATATTGCCTATTTAATCCATTCCCCTAATCAATTCATCCATCACAAAGTAATGTAAAAATGTTTAACATTTGTCAAAAAGTATATGGGGAATCTTTAACCTTAAAATCATCCTATGTTCAGTGCCAAGGGATTTTATGGTATTAAAGTATCTTTGGCAAAGGTGAAAGAAACCCTGAGAATTTAAACATCTCACTTCTTGTTAGGGATGTTCACGTATAGATGTTTAAATGATTAATCAATAAGCCTAGGCTTATCGGTTAATCCAAACAACTACACACAATCCTCTCCCCTTGCTGCCTCTTTATCAGAGGCAGCAAGGGGGAGGGGCGGAGGTGGAAAACCTGGTGCTTGTGGGGTGTCATCTTTTAATCCACAGAGGCAGCAGCATGGGGGCATGCAGGAGTTGATGCTTGGCGGGACCATCTTAAAAGCCAGCTTCCCATGAGCACTGGATTCTGCAAAGCCACCTGTCCCCCTCCACCCTGCAATGCTGCCTCAGATAGCAAGGCAGCAGTGTGGAGGGTGAGGAGGGCAGGCAGGAGCTGGTACATGCAGGAAGCCAGTTTTCAAGCCAGTTCCCTGCCCATATTGGCTCCTGCAGAGCTGCCTGCTCTCCCCCATCCTGCCCTGCTGCCTCTCTAACAGGCAGGAGCTGATGTGCCGGTTTTGCTGCCTGCAACATAGGCAGCAAGGGGGTTGGGAGAGGTGAGAGCTGGTGCTCAAGGGAGACTGGCTTAAAAGCTGGCTCCCTAGAGATGCCTGCCTTTTCCTCCCCACGCCTGCAGTGCCTTTCCCTCCCCAACCCTGCTATGCTGTGCAGCAGCGCAGGGTAGCAGGGGCTCTGTGGGAATGAGGTTGGGCGAGGAGTGGGGAGCACACTGACTGCTGCCTCCATCTCTGGAGACCATTTTAGTAACCATTACAAATTTTTGTGACTACATGATTACTAAAGAAAACAACATTTAACATCCCCACTTCATGTGTACACAAAGATCAAAACATACTTGTTCTGAGAAAAACACTGGTTTCAAATGTATGTTTACTAGTCTATTCTACTATTTTATAGCTCTAACATTTTGCGAGACAGGAGACATCTTTGCAACTGATTGGTCTCTTGATCCAGAAGAGGATAAGACAGCTGCAAAGGCATATGCAGAACAAGCATGCAGTGTTCCCTCTAATTTTTTCCATCCATGAGTAGAATACATTTTATTATATGCACTGAGGCATGTGTGAATGTGCACCACCAATAGAAACATATGCTGCAAGCTGTGGGCAGCTGTGAGTGCTCTGCTAATCATTTGAACAGCACCTGAATCTCTTGTGAGTAGCTGCCCAAGTGCTCAGCTTACAGGGAACATCACCAGCATGTAAAAGTTAGTCTCTCACAACAGCAAATAGAATTGTATTGTATCAAAACAGAGAAGCCAATGCCTGTTCTGCCTACTCTAAGCAATCTTCATTGCTTCAATCAAGCAGCAGTCCAAGACCGATTATACCAAACCCTAGACCCAGTGTTATTTTCTATCTTTGATTACACAAAGTATATAAGTACATTTTTGTGTAGTGTCCCCCAAACTAAAAAGGCACCTAATATACGACACATTTTCTTTCAGAAACACAAGATCTACAAGAGTATAAATATAGTTTTTGTTTTCTGTCCTTGGCTTATGAAGACTCCATGGAGGACATGATTAAAAAAAGAGACTTCTGTTGGAAAGCTACGACTGTGCTCAGTAAGGTCAAGACGAGAATATTTAAAAAAATGATTGTCATAAACATACAAGACAGAAACAATCTATTCTTTATTGTCTAGCCCTTAAATCAATGGTGCTGACCCAACCTAGGCAGATAAGATGATCCTGATTTTGGTGCAGAACAGACCCTTGGATCCAGGTAGAAATTTTAGAGAATAAGCAAGAGCTCTCAGTAGTTGGAAATAAAAAAAGTATATTACACTTAAGATGAAATGAAAACACAAACAAATACTTATGAGAATTTGTGTAGGGTAAATAATGTAGTCTCTCGTGACAGATTTTCCAGAAAATTATATCTAAAATAGCATTTTCAAATGTTTATATATTTGACATCCCTACTCCACAGGGTTTTCTATTTTCTTTCAACATCTACTTTCATTATAACTAGATTAAAAAGTGATGTCAATTAAACTGATTGTCCTTCTTCCTATATACCGAAGTCATTGTTCAACCATACAATTTTTATTTACATTTTTCCTCTTCCCCTAACTTTTTTACTACAAATGTATGAGGTGTTGTGGTTCAAATGTACAAAGCGTCAGTAGCAAGTGTCTTGGAGTCTGTTGTGTTGACTAATAGTGCATGGTTAACGCATTTGACAGGGGAGCACATGCATGCAGACAGCCGAAAGTTTATCATCATTGATGGAGAAGAGGGCCTGTCAGGAACCCACTGGGACACCTCACCTGACTGATGACATCAATAAACAACTGCAGTTATTAATGAATTTGCCAGATTGCCAGTTGTGCTCTGACAGTACTGTCTCTAAAGGTATGTCTACACAGCAGAGCAAAAGTCGAATTAAGCTACGCAACTTGAGCTACATCAATTGCGTAGCTTAAGTTGGAATAGCTTAACCCAGCTTGTGGCGCTGGCTACATAGCAAGAGTTGAGGAAAGAACACTCTTCCTTCAAATTTTCTTATTCATAAAATGAGGGTTACCAGGACTCTGAGTAAGAAGTTCTCCAGCTCGCCATTATTTCACAATAATGGCTTATAGTGTAGACACGCTCTTTGTTATTTCAGAATAACTGACGTTATTCCAAAATAACGCTGCTGTGTAGACCTACCCTAAGGCTACGGCTACACTGCAAGCTTTGCCAGAAGAAGCAATGAAAATGAAGTGCAGATCAGCATTTTCTCATGCTTCATTTGCATAATCTCTTCCAGTCCGTTTTTGTGTAAAACCAGACAGTGTGGACAGGTCTGTTTTGTGCAAAAACCCCTTTTTGTGCAATAGCCTTATGTTACTGCGGTCATCTGAAAATGTAACTGAAGTTCCATATAATTGTTATATGCAAAGTTTTATAAAGATGTAGTTAAGAAACGCTTTATGTTGAATTCCTTTTAAACTATTTGAGTTCTTAAAATAAATCTAGAACTCTCAAGACTTTGTCAATACAGATTTATTAAAACAAAAAATGTTGCTAGCTTATGTCTTGCTTTTTACTCTGCCAATTTAAGATTTGCACCTCCATAACACTTAAGTAGGAGGCGATGAGAAGTAGGGAAACACAAATGGTCAAATACAGAGTATTTGTATTATCTGTGATTACAACAACTTGCTGCCATTTTGATATCAGAACTGAAAAAAAGTCATAAGATAACCTTTATATTCTTTTAATTCAAACACTTTAGCAGCTGCATAAAAATACTACCCCTTTTTATGAAAAAAGCATAAAAAGAGGGAAAATATTTTTACTTCTTTTGATTAATATAATGTGACTGCAGACATTCTTTTTTTAAAAAAATAAATAAGTTTGTGATAAATATCTTAATTTTATATTAGAGTGGGTTCAGCACATTGGTTTCTTTAGTGCAATTTTATTTCACTTATTTTATTTTAGTATGTAAGCATTTTTAATGGCTTTATAAAAAAAAAAGTTGAGACTACAGACACTGAAGAATACGGTAATTGTTCCTATGCATAGACCAACCAGCTGATGCAAGTTGAAGTAACTGAGGACAAGGGTGGAAAGACACACTTATAAATACAACACATTAGTGTTTAGCTAGAAAAACTTAGAATGTCTTCTGTATGAATCATCCCTATTTAAAGCACAAAAACACATTCTGTACTTAAAACAAATAAGCATGCACATAACTGTTATTCAGTGTCATCTTTAATAAATTAAAATATGGTATATAAGCATTAAATATACAAGCTAATACATATGTTTTTAATACCACCCTAGAAATAGCAAATAAGCCAATTAGCTGAGGCAAGATCACAGGACATAATTTGGCACTACTACTATCCAATACAAGCTGGGGTTCTTGTACATTTCAAAGGCAGAATGCATAAGTGCCTATCAACTAGTCGAGTAGTCAATGGAAATTCCATCGACTACCCAACAAGTAAAATAATCACTAGTTAACATCCCTAATGTGTACCCCCAGTTTCATGTCACTGTAAAATTACTTACAAAATCAGAGAAAAATACAAAAAGTGTCTCAGCATAGTATTACTGAAAAATTACTTATTTTCATTTTTACCATATAATTCTAAATCAATTGGAATATATTGTACTTACATTCCAGTGTATAGTATACAGAACAGTATAAACAAGTCATTGTATAAAATTTTAGTTTATACTTACATTGTTGGTGCTTTTTATAGTATCTGTTGCAAAACCAGACAAATATTCAGATGACGTGATACACTACCAGAAGACCTCTGTGTACCCACAGAGGTACGCATATCCAGGTTGAAAACCACTGCATTAAAGGAGCTTACAAACAGAGATAACTGTTTTATGAAAAATGGGGGCAACAAGCTAAATACTGTTCCACTAAGGCAAACAAACAAAATAGAAAAATAAAATGAGAGAAAAATTGGGCTGGGTGGGAAGAAGGGGAGAGTGTAGAGTCTAGGAATGCAGAATACCGATTAATTCGTTTACTGGTTAAATGTTAGTTAACTTAGTGGTTAATTGACTAAAATGGGATCTGGGCCAAGGACAGGGGATGTGGCTCCACCCCAGCCTCTGGCTCCTGGCCAAGGACAGGACATTGCTAGGTTCAAGTTTTGCTCCTCTTTACTCCCATAT